GCGTCGATTTGACTACGAAATCGCTAATTTTGTCGGTCGTGTAAAATCCCCACTAACGACATTTTCAAAAATAAATGTCGGCGGGAAGCAGAGAAGATAGAATTCGAAATTTATGAACCCGTTGGAAAGTGCCCACAGAATATAATTGGACAGGAATACAGTTTATTAGTTAATATCATGAACACATGCATGCTAGTTTAGTAGAACACATGCATGCTAGTTTAGTAGAACACATATGCTAGTGAGATAATTTTGCTTTTTTAAAATATAAAATAGGGAAATTTAGGAAACTTTTAATACATACACACAGCTTATTGTGCATTATTTTACTACGTACACACACCTTATTGTACATGAAACGACTTTCCCACATGTTTTCAAAATCTTGGATCATTCCACTCCTGGCAGTCAGTGACATGACCACACCACTTTTGAAACCGCTAGCATGCAGATTTCCCTTTTCCGGGTATAAACAGCCGTGCGGAATTAGTACCCTCGCTGCGTTGCAGTGACGCACTGTTGTTTGCGTATAGGAAGCTGAGAACGTCTATTATCTGTAGGCGCGAGCAGCCAATGGCGAAACGGAATGTGTATACGTATAATGTGTAATAATTAGTTATTTTGTTTAGTTCGCATTGTGTTTCGAAACTTGAATGCCAAATGAAGCAACAGAACAATCTAACAAAATTTAGAAGTATTAAGTAGAAATTTACTTTCATTTTCTGTTTTCGTACATACATACATACATACATATGTCTCTGGTGAAAGACATATTTGTGTTCTATAAATACTAAACATTTGCACAAAAGAAAATCAATCAAAACTTTAATTGTTTCAGCGCGTCAGGGATTTAATTGCAGACTTGGTTTTAGAACTTTCAAATACCTTAGATTGCAGCGCACGTAATTAATACGTATAGTTGGAACACTTATCAAAGCTGTAAATTGTTAATTTAGAGCTTGAAATGAGCCCTGTAACAATTTGTGGACAGCCAGCACACATCATGTCAGAGAATCTATAGACAATCTTCTAAAAATGTAAAAAGCGACTTTTCAATTGTACGATTATACACACAACTATAGTTTTTCAGAAGTGGGGGAGGCATATATACCCCTGAAATTGGCACAAGAAAGCTTAATTCTCCTTATTAGCAAGACAAGACCTCAGTGGCGTAGCCAGCCTGACTATTTGCTCCTGCTATGCAAATATTTATGTAAAAACAATGAATTTCTAAAGAAATGAATAATGCTTTGAAATTTACATAGCAGGAGTAAATTTTCAGGCTGGCTACGCTACTGCAAGACCTTCTTTATTGTCACCTGTTCTTGGTAAAATTGCTATAATCATATTCCTCCCACGCAACCTCTTTATAATCGTAACAGATCACGCAATGTTGTCGCAGTTTCGAAGCCACTCATTGAGAACAGAACTGAGCTGGAACGTGGTAAGAAAGAAATGTATTGGGCTACACCTTTGGTACTTGTTTGCCTGATGGCATCCCAGGTTTGTTGTGATCATGGCCAATTGGTGTTTGTCATTGGAAAGTTGCAGTTCATAACATGCGTCTCCAACCCAATCAACGATATATGCCCTGTAAATCACAAGGTTCCCGATCAAATTCTCCCTAATCGTACTGTCATAAGTCAGCTTCTAAATTCAACATCAGTCCCGCTTCGTTCCACAAATGCAAGTGAAAGCTGCATTGCAGCAAACAAAATGTTCCTATGTTCATTAAGCATCTACACATGTAATGACAACGAAAGATACTTTTATAGGGATACGGAAATAGCGTATAGATTGTGTATGGATGCAAGGGATATCTGCACGGGACTGGAGCAACTGTTTAACTGTAGCTTATACAGAAATGCAACTATGCGGCACAGCAAGGGTGTGACATGTAATGAATATCAAAAGTTGGAGAATGATACATGTCCAATGCGGAATTATAAGGTAATAGCAATACAATTTCAATATGCAATAAAGTTAGCCAGCCGGATCAAAGCCAATATATGATCACTAGATTTACATTTTTTGTTAGTTTGTGTGTATGCTAGATTTACATTTTTTGTTAGTTTGGGTGCATTGTCTATAATTATATAGGGTATAGGTTTAAAAGCAGAAAATACTTGCGGATATAATGTTTGTCAGGACAAATGAGGAGAAAATGAAGAGATATGTGAAAGAAAATGCGATTTTGAGCTTATAAGGAGCGATGGACATAACAAGTATAAGGCTGTGGAATTGCATGCATATATAGTTTTGAAAGCATACATTTCATTGTTTAATTACCCGAGATTGACGTCTATAGAAACTGTTTAAGAAGCTGTTTTTAATTCCCAGGAGCAGAAAATCGCGCACTTTAGCAGGAGATATTCCTAACTAAATTCTAATACATGCACCTTGTCAATATTTTACGCATCATTACGTCCAGCTGTTTGGTAGGGCATTCAAATTTAACAATAAGTGATTTCAATAGTTTTCGCTTTTTTGGGACACCCTGTATAGTTAAACAATTATATTTAATATACTTGGAAAGTTTTATAACAACTCATGACATGCAGGAATAACATTCCATTCATTCCACTCAAATTGAGCATAATGATTTCTATACTTTGGAGTATGGAATAGACATTTGCATTATAGACTAAATTTTGATCTAGACAAAAATTTCATCACAGCTTGAAAGAGCATCACAAAATTAGTAATATTCCAAAGTTTCGTTGCGAAATGTTGTAAAATGCGGATAATATACCCTGCGACGTTTGCAATTTTCAGTCATTTTAGATTACAAACGGGAAATTGATGCCCCAACACCCGATTGGGCTGTCAATTTCCCGTTTGTAATCTAAAATGACTGAAAAACGGCAAACTTCGCACGGCCATATTATCCGCATTTTACAACATTTCGGAACGAAACTTTGGAATATTACTAATTTTGTGATGCTCTTTCAAGCTGTGATGAAATTTTTGTCTAGATCAAAATTTAGTCTATAATGCAAACGTCCATTGCATGCATATAGTTTTGAAAGCATGCATTTCATTGTGTAATTACCCGAGATTGGCGTCTACAGACTCTGTATAGTTAAATAATTATATATAATATACTTGGAAAGCTTTTATAACAACTCATGACATGCAGGAATAACATTCCATTCATTCCACTCAAATTGAGCATATGATTTCTATACTTTATTGAGATTGGATTATGGAATTCTCTCTATCATAAATGTACCATACACTTTTTAAGAGGCATTTTTCCCATGCATGTTTCGTATTTATGTTCTACTCCCACAGTTAGCTACGCTCTTAATGCATCTGGCGCAGTTGAGTATATGGTGCTGTAAAATAGACCTTTCCCCTTTTAAGTGAGATTTTGATCTAGACAAGTCTGGACAAAAATTTCATCACAGCTTGAAAGAGCATCGCAAAATTAGTAATATTGCAAAGTTTCGTTGCGAAATGTTGTAAAATGCGGATAATATAGCCTTGCGAAGTTTGCCGTTTTTCAGTCATTTTGATTACAAATGGAAATTGATAATCAGATGATCAAACTGATTATCAATTTCCCGTTTGTAATGCAAAATGACTGAAAAACGGCAAACTTCGCAAGGCTATATTGTCCGCACTTTACAACATTTCGCAACGAAACTTCGGAATATTACTAATTTTGTGATGCTCTTTCAAGTAATATATGAACAACGAGAGCGAGTGTTTCAGCAGGATATCCAAACACGAGAAAACAATGTACGAGAACACGAGCGCGAAGCGCGAGTGTTTTCATACATTGTTTTCGAGTGTTTGGATATCCCGGTGAGACACGAGTTCGAGTTGTTTATATGGCTTCTCAAATGAATCGAGACGTAACAGAATGTTTTCGTTTGCTGATTTGAATAGAATTCTTAACCAAGCATAACGTAATTGGGAATTCTATTCAAGTAATTTTGCATGCGTAATTAAGATATTTGATGAAAACACTAGTGACTTTCATCAAGTTTCACCGGGTTATCCAAATGGCATCTTGTGATCAAATAGGTGATTATTATTGGCTGAATTATCATGAATTATTAATGAATTTGAGAAGCTGTGATGAAATTTTTGTCCAGGCTTGCCTAGATCAAAATTTCACTTAAAAGGGGAAAGGTCTATTGATATCATAGATTTCACAAAACTTATTGAACTTCAAACATCGTTTTCTCTATGCCATCTATATAAACACTCTTTAGCATTATTTATCGATTATAGGCCCTAAACGTACCCTTAAAATTTGTTTCTCGATTGAGAAACGTATCAAATGTTGAAAATTTTGAAACGCAGTTATAGCTTATAGCCAAGGTGGCATATACTCATTAGTTTTGAGCGCGTGCAACGTGACATTAATAGACAATTCCCATTATAGACTAATTTTAAAACTAGGCAAGGAGACTCAACTAAATCACCAAAGCTAGAAAGAGCATACTAAAATTAGTAAAATTACAAAGTTTGGTTGCGAAATGTTGTAAAATGCGGAAAATATAGCCTTGCAAAGTTCGCAAATTTTGTATACTTTTGTATTGCGTGCGGAATTCCTACCACATTCCTACCACAATTAGGCCGAAAATGGTCGCACGCAATACAAAAGTATACAGAATTTGCGAACTTGGCAAGGCTATATTTTCCGCATTTTACAACATTTCGCAACCAAACTTTGCAAATTTACTAATTTTAGTATGCTCTTTCTAGCTGTGGTGATTTATTTGCATCTCCTTGCCTAGTTTTAAAATTTGTCTATAATGGGAATTGTCTATTCATGTTCCTTTGTGAATTCAGGTCCCTTCCTATGTCGATTTTCAAAATGTCACAACAATTCGGGAAACAGCACAAAGTTTGTTGACCCAGAACAATGTGGAAACAAATTGCACAAATAACGTTCTTAACACTATATGCGATATTGGGTATCCAGCTTGTACGACTGATGAAAAGTACAGTGTGTCCCTCATTGGGAAAAAGAAGTGTCTTGAAATTATGAAATGGTAAGTAGAAAAGCCAAACCGCAATAATAGAGACATTACACTTTTATAAAAGAAAGTCTTTTTCTGCCTATTTTCAAAGACTTCAAGTACCATTGAAAGTAAATAGCTGTTGAAAGCAAAGCTTTATATACGTACAAATAAATTAATAACAGTTTTTAAAAACGGAGGTCTTTTTCTATAATAGATTACTTTCTAAAAGTTTACTAAGAAAAATTACAGCGATTGTAAATCTCTTCGATTTTTGTGAAAATCTTGCTGCAAAAAAGATCTGCAATATATATTAGCTGTAGTGGATCGTATAATCAAATATACTCTGCACTAAAGAATTCAAAGATCTTTTAAAGGCTTAAAGACTTTCTTCCCGTTTTCACATAATTGAAAGACTTTTCAAAGATCTTAAAGACTTTCATGCAAGCATTTCCCAGATTGGTTTAGAGACTCAAATCAATTTAGATACTTACAGCGAATCTCATCCTCGTCCCCAGGGCCTCTCGCGTCCTCCCTAGGCCCTGGGATACACGGAACTGGAAATGCAAGGAAACTTGCAGTAGTTTCTAAAGCGCATGCTCTTGAATTGGGACTCTTTACCACCCGTAACAGTTACGAAGAAACGAAGTATTTGTGTTGACATATGTCGATAGAATAATTTTGCCTAGCGAAAACTGCCCAACTTCTGCGAAATAGCAGTTCTCTGAGAAGCCAATCAGATCTCTCCCGTTAGTCGTCTAACCCAGAGCCAAATTTTCAACGAGTGCATGACCGAGTGAAAATGGCTCTGGGGACGAGAATGAGCGAATCTATAAGGCATTATTTCTAGGTTCATAGGTTTCTTCATTGGAAATTTTATCCACTAGTATAAATATCCACCGAAGAGAAATATTTTTCTTGGTAAAAATTTTTCTGATCTAATCATTAAAAAAATATTTGTTACCCAACCTCCAATATCAATTCAAAATAAATACGCACCCCTGGCCAAAAACGTTACAAAAGGATGCTATTCAGTTGTCACACATGTCCTTTACCACTTCTGTGACACGAGTTTGATAACTGCTTGGGCAATTTTCTGCAGTCTAAAGCTTCGTGTTGTCTGCACATGTACTTTCTTTGGAGACACCGGCCATTTGCCTCCTGGCAAATCGGAAAATGATCAAGATAGTGGCTCTAATTGATTTACATATTGTATTGGCATATACATGTTGCCATTGCTTGTTAGTGTTCAATATTTGAGTGAGTCATGCTTTGGAAATAGCTATACATTTTTATTATCCATCCCTTGAGTTGTTTTGTTTTTCATTTACCCAACCTTTTACTCACTCAAAATTTTGTTTACCCAACTCTTTTCTCTTCGGTGCCACCCTCCGCCATAAATAATGATCGGTCCCTTAGAAAGCTTCGGATTGACAGGGATACAACTACCTGAAAAATACACGTTCTTGTATCACTTTTTACTTGCAAAGATGCTTTGTCAATTTCTTTCAGTGTGGAGTCAGTAAACAACACCAATCTCACAAACAGTGCAATGCAACTGTGCAGTAATCTTCCTGAAGAAGATATGGTCAAGAATTTGTCAATTCACACAATTGAAAACCAAATGACAACAGTCACGAGCACGACCACACTCAACCCAAACGCCACGAGCACGACAACACTCGACATTAGTACAACACCAATGTGCTGTGGGGCATCACGATTGTCTGCCATGAGCCACATTTTGGTGGTATTTATCGTTTGGTTTTTCCTGGGCAGTTTTGCTAAGTAAACTCTTAATGCAAGAACGTCTTTGGCAATAGCACTAATCCATTATAGAGTTAACATATTTTAACTTTTTTAAACTTAGACTTTAATTGAAGAGTTCTTAGTCGCTGAAGATAGGCAACAAAGTTTTCATTTCGTGAAGTAGGAATTGATAGTTTTGGTTGCTAACAGTTTATGAGGTCACCAAAGCAAGACGTGAACGCTATATGGAACTTTCTTTGCATTGATTGTTGTAATGTGTATCGTGTAGTTAGCAGGGGTTGGTATTATTATTACACTCTAAAAACACTCTGGTTAAAATTTCCTGGTTCACCTAGAAATAACCCTAGACGGGTATCTACTTAATATTCCTGCTTATTTTATCTCACTTCCTGTCATAGTCTGCATGGTTACCATGTAACCAGGAATCTGGTTATATTTGCCCAGGATTTGGAGCTGAGTTCTTCTTGTCTGAAAAGCGCCTGGGCACCAATCAATCTGCCATGAGATTCGTGAACATTTCCATGTTTTTTCAGATGACTTAAACTGCTTTGCCCGACATACAGCCCAACACTAGGTAAAATGCCCGAGTATCATATCATTTTTAAACTTTGGGGGGTGGGGGAGTGTCACGCCTACTCCCCCCCCCCCCAACAGTTGCACCCCAATATAAGATTCTAGCACTAGCAGAACCTTTGTACACCGGCATTTTATCAGAACCAATTCAGCCTAAAATTTGGAGAAGGTTCTATAAATGATAGTTATGTAAGTACAAATAAACTTGCACTTGAATTTTTTAGAGTGTAGACATTAGAGTCATTAAATACGACTAATAATGCTCGTTATTTAATTAAATCATTTTATTGGAAGATATCCAAACTATAAACATACTACAATGCATGCTGATCAAATATGTAAGAATGTTTCAGCTTGACCTGGAAAATTGCGAGGTTCTCGGATGATCATTTCACAGGCATCAACTATTTCGCTGACCTCAGAATGACATTTCGTCAAAACTTTTTTTCTTCAAGATTGGTTTAGAAACAAATTTGGAGTAGGGTTAGATTAGGGTTAGGGTTATGGTTAGAGTTGGTGTTTGGAGTAGGGTTGGTGTTAGTAAAACCGTTGCTTTGTTACGTTTTGTCACTTTGAGGCCGGCGAAATAATCTCTTCCCATTTCACAGGGCTGTGAAGGAATAAAATGGGAGATGCATGTACCACGTGTTGCGCCCAATCTCGACCCAATCCCAAGAACCGCGCGAACTAAATGCATGTACAGTAAAAATATTTGGACCAATATTGTGCAAGTTTCATAAACCTACAGGGCTGTGAAGGAATAAAATGGGAGATGCATGTACCACGTGTTGCGCCCAATCTCGACCCAATCCCAAGAACCGCGCGAACTAAATGCATGTACAGTAAAAATATTTGGACCAATATTGTGCAAGTTTCATAAACCTTTATGCTTTTTAATTTCTGGTAAAATTTAAACAATGACCAACAACATAACAACTCAAGACCTGTGTAAAGCTATTGAAGAGAATGATTTGAGTAAAGTCCGCTCGATTTTAGCGATACAAGATGGCGAACCTTCGAACTGTATAGACGAGCAAAATTCTGACGGCTGGAGCGCTTTAATGTTTGCAGCCAAACACAACGATGTTGAAACAGCACAAAATTTGATTAAACGCAGGTTAGATGTGGACATATATTATATTATATACTGTGAATACAGCGAATAAACAGGCGTTAAATTAAGTAATTTACTAGTACTACCAGGTACTAGACCTAAAAAGTTAACAATATTTTGTGTATTTGAGCATGCGTACAACTTACAAACAAAAGCACGGAGGCAAATTATAAATATGGAGGGGGAGCGGGTCACGAAACCGGTTTTTCATTTTGAACACCATGGCTACATAATATGTAAACGTGGAATTTGACATCACACATTCACAGCTTTCATTATTGTGGTTTTGTGTATCGAAAATGCGTGCTGCAAGGTCTGTGTTTTGGGCTCATCGCTATTGCAATAAATTGTCAACACACAAACGATTCTTTGGTAGTAACATCGTAAGGTATGAATTAATAATGCTCGCGTGACTTGAAATATTATAGAATTATTGTATATTAATTTAATAGCACAATGAAACTTGTGCTTTGTTCAATTTTGTAAGTATTTTGAATAGAACATGAATATTTTATGAACAGTGTGGTTTGACTTCATATTATTTTGTCATTTTATATTCGTTCTTAATTCTGATTATATTAGTATGTGATTCTGATGTTGTGCATAGAACTATTATACTGTAGTCTATATCACAAAAGTGTGAAAAATGTAAACACTCACTTGGACCACACTTGGACTTTGGACCTTTATAGAAACCAGAATAATTAATGAGATACACTGCAAGAAGTCAAATACTCCCCCCCCCCCTACATGTAGAGATCACTATAGCCTATTAATGTTGCCTTGTATAAAACTCATTAATTAACCCAGATACACCATTTTGACCTTGATATGAGTAAAATTATCTGGCAGCAGACAGAGTATAACTCTTTAATATTGCCAAAACTGTGGTGAAAAGTGTCATGGTTTTGTTTCAGGAATGTACACATTGTACAGTAGCAATTTAGCTCTAATTTGATTAATAATAACCATTACCAAGGTTTCCAAAAGTGAAAAAGAAAGACACCTTCCTAGATAATATTGCAAACTGTCATGTTGTTTTAGCATCATGCAACAAATAAAAGTGCTCCAATCAATACCAAAATTTGTCTAATTATATTGGCTACAAGTAAGATTAATATGAAATTTAATCTTACTTGTAGCCAATATAATTAGACAAATTGGCTACAAGTAAGATTAATATGAAACTAGTTTTTCGTATCTCTGAGGATGGTTCTGAAATAGAATTGAAACACTGCGCATCCTCTAAGACAAGCGTTAAGTTGTCACTAAAATATTTAGTAATCAAGTACATAGCCATACATCAAAATAATTAATGCCCACAAAAATCAAGGCTCAGATTAAATGGCTGGCTACACTTGTTGCCTTGTGATTCTACCCCTGCTCCTGAGGTTTTACACGAAAGCATGAAAATTTTTTGGCATCATCTGTGCTTGTGTAATACAAACTTAGAGAAATACCCAACATTTACTTCACATCATATATGCTGACATAGTAACCAGGTATAGCAGGGGAAGGGTCATCCATAAATTTATTTTAAAAATCTATATGTAAATTTAAAAAAAAATCTACGAGTATTTTTAAAGCTGATCTATGCTGAGCTTTTCTGAAATAGTCCGGTCATGCCAGCTCATGCTAATTTTTTTTCTACAATTGTTTTTATAGAGCAAACACAACTCTTCAGAATCACCAAGGCCAAACAGCAGTTGACATAGCAAGACACTTCAAATCAAAGGCAACAGTAAACATACTAAACTCCCAAAAACTTTTAACGTCTGTGAACTACCCTACAGTGAATTATTTTAGCCATGCACCTTTGAATCGACGTGCAGACAAACGCAAAGACAAAACATGGCTGAATGAACAGATGAAAAATTCCCAAACAAAATATATTATATTTAGCAAATTGAAACCACTAGCAACAAAATTATCTGGTGAAAATAGATTTCGTTTGGCAGTTATAAATTATGAGAAAATTTCTGAGATACTTGGAGAAGAAATGGAACATATTAAAAACATTGTTTTTCTTGGTGTTGAAGAGAGTTTGTTGATGCCAGATTCAGATGGACAAGTTAAGCAGACCAATGATGATTGTGCATGGTTTGCAGTTGATGTAGGTGAAATCGACAATGCTTCAAATAAATTTTTAGAAGCTTGCCCAGATACACTATACCTGACACCTCGACCAGGGTTTTTACAAGTTCACATGGAGGATGCAACAATCTTGGCTCAAGCTCGTCCAATATTAGAGTGGCATCAGTTTAACAAGTTTTGCCCAAGATGTGCAAGTGAAGTTTCCATGGAAGAAGGTGGCTACAAGCAGAGCTGTTCAAATACTGAATGTGCTTCAAATAAAAGTATGTGTAACAGAGGTGTTACTCTGAAAGTCCTCTTACACTTCTTCAAAAAATAAAAATAATCTTCCAAAAAAATAATCAAATAAAAAAAATTGCCTTAAAATCCCTGACCATCCCACGAGTATGGACATTTATTACTATTATGTCAAAGCAACATCAAATTTATTACTGCAGTAATAAATTTACGTGGTGTTTCCACAAACAAAACTATTATATTTTATCACCAAGCAAACATACAAAGAACTTATAAAAAATCTATTGTCTGACAAATTTCTAAGAAACTCAAAGATCAATCTCAAATTTCTGTTTTCTTGTTATACGTACTTCTCCAATTTTGAGGTTTGCTCAGAGACTGTTTTGTCCATTATATTAAAATTACTGATCAGAATGTCTTTATTCTTTTCTCAAGGAATCCTAAATGTGAGCTATCCTCGTATGGATCCAGTGGGGATCATGTTAGTCATTTCCCAAGATGGCACGGAATGTTTACTTGGCCGTAAACCTACCTTCCCTGCAGGGATGTATTCATGTCTTGCAGGATATATGGAACCAGGCGAGTCAATTGAGGATGCAGTCAGACGTGAGGTGCTGGAAGAGAGTGGTATCCATGTAGGTCTGGTAGAGTACCATTCTTCTCAGTTCTGGCCATATCCTGCCCAGCTTATGATTGGCTGTCTAGCTCATGCCACAAGTGACAGGGTAATTGTAGATAAGGAGGAACTTGAGGATGCACAATGGTTTAGTATGGATATTGTAAGACAAGCTTGTATTAAAGTTGTTGATCATTCAAAACCCCCATCGTTGTGGTTTCCTCCCAGGCAAGCTATTGCAAGGCAGTTGATTGAACATTGGGTAGACTTGGGCTCATCAAGATTATAAATAACACAATACAGTACAGTGCACATTATGCTATAAAGTATAAACTACGGTATATATAAAACATACATACAGTATCATGGCTTCTACCAAGGCAAGCTATTGCAAGACAGTTGATTGTACATTGGGTAGACATTATAGGCTCATCAACGTGGGTAGACTTTATAGGCTCATTATAATTTCACACAAAGTGTAGAGTACATTACAGTACTGTACAAATAAATTAATGTGTACATTATGTTGTAGTAGGTGACAGTATAATAATATACAGTACCACTACAGCAAAATGTGGCAAGCTATTGCAAGACAGTTGGTTCATCTCTGGGTATAGCAACCTCATCAAAATAATAAATAGCATGCTGTATGGGTCTTGACTGTATAACAAAAGGATTAATTTCCATTTACACACATAATTTATAAGATATTCTTGTTAATTAATCTAAGATGATTTAGATTAAATCAAATTTTTCCATCTTCTGTGTTTATTGATTAAATATGATTATAAAATAATATAAAAGTTCTACATTATATATACAATATTAAATCTGTATAAAACTCCTAACCATTTCCAATATTTGTGAGTGTTTCTAAATGGACCCGCCTATCATTCTGCATAATTGAAAAAGCTAAAATGCATGAATATGAGAACTTTGATTGCAAACTAAACAGGGGCCAGGGAAAATTTTACATAAAAAGCAATGTTATAATTATGCAGGAGTACTGTATAATAAGATATCACGTTATTCATCTGTGAGTGAGTGGGTGCCTGCTTTTTATTAGTGCTAGCAATCATTGTTGGATTAAGCCTATTAACTTCATAAGATATAGTCATATCATACATGAAAACGATGTTAGTAAGCCAGCAACTAGTACCTCGTTCATTAGGTATCACCAGAATCGTCTACTGAATGGGGAGTGGCTAACCAAGCATATCACCACACAACTTATCAAATATTGTGTTTGTTTATAAATGGACCCGCCTATCACTCCGTATTGAAACAGGGCTGCAGGACTTGTATACCGGAGATTCGTTCGTTCCGGTACTGATTATATTCCGACACCCTTCAGCCAAAAATATTTGGCGGAGGGTTCTGGTAGACGGCGTACAGCCACAGTTTTTGGCGAAAAGACAGCTTCCAATCGTTCATATCATCACATACTATGTTTGTTTCTGTTTATTTTGCAGACTTGCCACAAGCTTTTCCCCAGCTTTTAGCGAGCGAGTAAAGTTGAGCGTGATTTCACGCCATTTGAAAGTCTAATCACTTTGATTAACCGCGTTTGTACTTCAAGTGAACGGCTCAAATGAAAGTAAGACTTTCATTTTAAACTGATCTACACATTTTGCACGACAACGTTGTTACCTCTTCGCAACAGAGATCACCTTGGATCGAAGTAGTCATCACTGCCTCTATCAGCCACGCGTTCTGCAGCAGGACCACGAAGATTTTCAACGATAGCTTTCTCCAGATTCTCTTTATCCATACCAGAAATCTCACATAATGTCTGAACGAAAAAAGCATTTTGAGGTGTTTAGTATTATCTACAGGGGGGTTTGAAGGCAGTGGCAGACACTACTGTAATTCGAAAAATAATGGGGGGGGGGGCTGTGAAAATTAAGGTCATTATGTATATGAAATTTAAGGCATGTAAAGCCAACATATTCTCGACTATGTGACAATAAATCCCAGTCCGAAAATTTGCTCAAATAATGCCATAGCATATTAATACTTCTTTCTATTTTAAAAAAGTATTGTCATAGATTTGTTAAGGCCTATTCACACTTTTAGTGCGATTTCTAGTGGGATTTTCGTCTTCTGATGCATGTGAACGAGTAGATGGGTTATGAATGTTCTGAGTATACTGTATGTCCCTTATCTGAACATTCGTAACTCGTCCACTCGTTCATAATAATCAGAAGAACATCGTACCTAAAATCGCAAGCGTTAATTAACGGGCTTTTATACATATAGTCCATGAATGCATATAGCCATGAATATCATTCAAAGGCTTTTAAAATTTTTTTTTTTTTTTTGGGGGGGGGGGCAGTTCTACCTCTCAAACCTGGCACCATAGTCTCCACCGCTTTACGAGAAGCTTAAAAATAGAGAAAGTCTCACTGTACCTCATTATTCCAGAACAGCTTGTAAGAAGGAAAAACATCTACATCGTAAATCTCTTTGCAAGCCTAAACGCCAAGAATATTACATATATTGTTTAGTCGCGTACAGTAATACGTACAGTATGTATGTGGGGTGGTGGTGTGATAATAAACCTTACTCGCAGCTGAGAGGCTGACAGCTACTGTAAGTTGAATTGCGAAGGACGCAGCTGAGCCTGACTATTAGGGACATTAAGATGTAGGACGGCAAAGCGACGACGACGGCCAAAACAAATGCATCCAAATAAATTATTGTAAAGAAATCTTATCGTATATTATCAATCGCATATGAATTTAATACAGCTTGAAGAGTTCAAAACGGAGGTTTTTTATTGAGTAGAGTTCCACATTAATACTGAACCAATTTGCTGAGTGTCCACTTCTTACGTACTAAAATGCAAATGTTGTACACAGGACGTAAAAGGTTTACTGGTCTGGTTTACAGCCGGTAAACCAGACCGTGGACGATGTCTAAATCTCCCATGGAATTTTAATTATTCATTTCTTTTCTTAAATATTATTAATTTCATTAGATCTAGATCTTAAGGTCTCTCATGAGTAAAGGCTGTCACGGGAGGGAGTTAAAGGTCCATCGAAAGTCGTGGGTTTTCACCTGGTACTCCGCGGTTTCTCCCACAGGGAATGTTGACAGGGTTGGTTGAGAATAGTTACTACAGTAATTGACTTTCCACCGTAGCTGCGCTCCTTGATTAGACATGAGTCAAAATAGTCTTAAGTGTCAGGAGTCCGCAACGAGAAGAGAAGGAAACCCACGATCTCAGAAGTGACAGACGCTTGCTACTGTATATGACGATTGTACTGTACTGTATGTGCCACCGAAGTAAAATGTTTGCTTACTGGCTCTAACTCGAAGTTGATTCGAACAAACAAAGCCTGTTTCTCAATTCCATATTTGCTATTTAAAGCTTCAAATTCTTCGACTGAACTGTTACAATCAGGTGTCCTATAGAAATAGAATTAAAAAGATATCTTGTAATCATGTATGTAAATAAACATAGAAAGTGGTATGTATGGACAACTAACAATATTTTACCCTGAAACATAAAATTCTACAACGATCAGTTGATCCTTATTCTGCCAGTGGGTTTCTTCCAACTGTCCAATTGAAGATATTTCAAGGATTTGACGAACTAGACAAACCATCAACAAAACAGATGAAAAAATATTGAATGTGGAGTTCTGAATGAAGGTGAACAATATATCGTTACCAGTGGCGGCGCCACGGGGAGGACTGGGGAGGACACGTCCCCCCCAGTTCTCTTCAAGGTCGATTTTCTAATTTGTCCAAATCCGGTGAGAAATTTGGGGGGGGGAGGGTACGTTTGTGACATCAGTCCAGTTATTTAGATATAACTTAATAAATTCAGTCTTTATTGTGTGAATAAAAACCGGTATTAAAAGATCTTCGCTTTACTTTTGACAAAAGACCATTTCATATATGCGGCATTTACCATTAGCATATTGCAGGCACTGATTACAACCGCCGAAGGAAACCCATCATAATGGGTTAACATATTACCCAAATTAAGTGCAATGGGTAATGTGTGATGCAGAAGTTTGGTCCTGCTGCTGAGATGTGGGCGGCAAGAATTATGACAGGTGCCAATTATGATGACAGGTCGACAGATTTGCTCCATGCTATGTCATGGAAAAATCTGCACGACAGACATAAAATGAATAAATCGGTCTTGATGCTCAAAATATTAAACAACCACTCAGCTCCGAACTTAAAGGATAAATTTATAACAAGGGACATAAATCTTAGTGCTAATTATAATCTCAGAAATGCTGATATAAATCTTTCAGTTCCTAAACCACGTACTGAATATTTAAAAAAGAGTTTTGGATATAGCGGGACTGTTCTATGGAATAGTTTACCTACGCAGGCAAAGCAAACAGAATCTTTAAGCAGCTTCAAAAATTTGATAAAATAATGTGTGCTACAGAGTCAGGCATCGAAGAGTCTTGGTTTTTTAACTTTTTCATCTACGTATTTGTTATTCTGAGTTATTCTATTTCATATTTAATTTATATTAGTTTTTAGAATGTAATTTGTGTGACGCCCCTCATGAAAATCATCCATGGGTGATGAGGGAAGCGTGGTTAAATAAAGTTTTTACTATACTACTATGTGAGGGAGATATGTTAATTAATGCACTGTTCGCGCAAAATATGGTCATTAGCTTCTTGGAATGCATCACTACACAACTGAAAGAGAAAAATGTTCAAAGGAAGAGATCCATCAAGTGAAATTGTGTGTGAGGGAGGCAAATAGAACCTTCGTTTACGAATCTTGACGGTTAGACCTATCTTAGATTTTTCAACATCGGAAATATCGATGAGAAAGTTTACATTCCAAAAGAAATGGTACGAAGAGTACATATATATGACTGGAATATTCAATGTAACAACTGCAAGATTACATACGAGCATCATAGCAGCGAAGAGATGGAAAGGAAAGAATCTAGAGAAAGGGTCCAAAAGAAAGTTTCCACCTTGGATTTGCTTGCCCTCCTTGCTCGAAGTTTTCAGCAAAGATGATCTGCACCACCTTCATCCCGACTTGTTTGAGGTCGCTACCTTGCCTGTGACAGTGGCATCATGTGAACGCACACACAGCAAGGTCAAAATAATAAACAATAATTTGCGAGTTGCTATGTCACCTGATAGACTCGAGAACCTTGTCCAGATTAGCAACGAACGAGATCTAGCCAACAATATCGAACTTAGCAAATTAGTGGAAATATTTAAGCTTGCAAAACCTCATAAGCTTGTCATGCAAGGAGATCTACGATAACATATAGCCATTATTATTCTACCTAACAGTTATTTCCATTTGTATTTAAATATAAAATAATGTTGACTTCAATTTTCCTGGAAGTAGCAATTCCTTTAGGCAGCTGTCAATCAATGTAATCGTAGTCAATAGAATAAGAAGGTTAGGGAACTCGATGCAGACATAATAGAGCTATCTATGTTTTTGTCTTGGTTTATGCAAAAAAATGGTCGGTTCATCGTCATGTGTGTATTGTATTTTTATTTTGCTAGAGTAACCAATAGTTACTATGTTTTTGTTTAGCTATTGTGTAATATTACGACCGGGTAATTAAACATGACGATGAACCGATCGTTCCTTGCATAAACCAGACAAAAACATAGATAATGAGGTCTTTTACTGTATGTCTGCATCGAGTTCCCTAACCTTATTCTTTTGACTATGATGTAATACTGCATTTGTAGGTATTATATATACGTATAGTCATGAAAAAATCGTGTGTTTTTTACTTTATAATTTTCGGAATTCTGAATAATCTCACCCTGAAAATGCAGGAAATCGCATTTCAGGGACTCTAGATTTCAAAAATTTTCCGGGGGGGCATGCCCCCGGACCCCCCTAGAAGTGTCTCGCGCCTTCACCGCTCGAAAATCCCCCCCACTTTTAAAAGGCTGGCGC